AATTACAATATCAAGGTATCGTATACTGTTATGAACATCATTTTCTTCTTCTATTGTAAATTGTATTTTTGTGTCTATGTTATTTATTATTTCTTCTATTTCCTTAATATTAATTTCTGTATTGTTGTATATAATTAAAACATCATCGACATATCTTTTATAATATTTTATACCGTGTATATTTCTAATTCTTTCGTCTATTTCGGTCATTATAATTTCTGCGAGTTTTGGTCCAATGACTGACCTCATGCTAATACCATTCTCTCATGTATAATATTTTCCTTCTAATTCAAAATAATTACTCTTATATGTAAATTCTAACAGTTCTATAATATCAGGTTCTACATCTATTTTCTTAAGTTGATTCTCTATCAGTTCCCATTTTATTGATGGGTACATATCTATCACATCTAGACTGGCTATTTTATATGTATTTTCTATTTTAACACTTTTAAGATCGTCAAGAAAGTCATCTGTGTTTTTGATAGAATATTTCGAGTTTTTGTAAACTTTGAGCTTTTGTTTCAAGAATTTTTCTAAGTTATATAATACAGCGAATTTAAAGTCCACTATTGGTCTCACATTTTCATCTTTCTTATGGGTTTTAAGCTGTATATTTAATCTTGGTGTTCTGTCGTTATCCTCATACAGAATAAAATCCTTTTCATTTTTGGTAATTTTTTTAAGTTTTTGTAACTTTGTAATTCTATTTTTTAATTCGTCATATATTACATCTTTAGGGTTAATCGGTAGTTCTCTAAATTTATTACTTTTTACTATTTCAAGTTTTTTTAACATTATCCAATCTAGAGTCACAACAATAACTTGTTTCGATTTATCTGCTCTTATAATATTTAACTTATTCTCCTTTAGAAAGGTATACAATTTTTCTATATCATTTTTATATTTATAATAATTTTTATCCTTGATCTTCATTTTTCCTTTTTCTTTCTTAGTATAACTTTTAATTATATTACTTAAGTTAATTTTTAGAATTCTACAATCCACCTCTGTTAGCTCATTGCATATACGATCTAAATTTGGCACTATGTCTATTACTTCCCAATCGTTTGGTCCATTAAAGTCCAAACCTTTTTGCATTGTCTCTAGGATATCATTAGGTATATCAATTTGTGTTTTATTCAACACTAAAGATCTTTTCCATTCCGATATCTCTTCTATAGAAGGGTAGTTAAATTTTTTTACCAGTTTTTTATGTTTGTTCAGTTTATATTTATCGACATTGTTTCCTTGTGGGTTTTTTGTTTTATCTCCTTTATCTTCGAAATTAACGTTCTTTTTCCTTTTGTTGTATTTTTGTAGATCACGTTTTAGTCTTCTAATTTTTATATATTTAAATTTTATAGCAGATGTTAATATTTTTTGATTTATGTAATTTCTATCACGTGTTGGGATATTTTCTATTATAGACTGTGGGAGAGACAGTGTTTTTAATTGTCTATGCTCCTTAAGGTGTACTTTTAGGTAATTTAAATCTATTAGAAGTTTGTCTATCTCACCTTGTATCTTTTCTTGATATTGAACTGTACACATGTTTTCCTTTTCTTCTGGTCGATAACTGCCGTTTCTATATTAACAATTTCGTTTGATTCTGATGAAACCGTGTTGTTGTTATTAAGCTGTTTCTTTGCAGACACACTAAGGTGACATATATCAACACTTGGCAACTTATTGACTATTTATTCAGTTGGGACGCCTTTTACATTACGCGTTTCGGGCATTGGCCCCTCTTCAGCCAACTAGACATAAAAAATAAAACATAANCAAAAAATAATAGATAACACTACCGGAATAAACGATAAAAAAACCAAGATAATCGATGGAAAAACAAAACCTAAATATGTAGGTTTCCCATATATAAAAAATATGTATGAACAGATAGATACTGAAATGAAGAAAAATAATATGAAACTTGCTCCCAAGTATGAAAATCTATTCTCTAGATTAAAGGCAAAACAGTGTATTAAAAAACAAAAAATAGATAAAGAAGAGACGAAAAATATAGTATATAAAATACCATGTACCTGTAAAAACACCAGCTTTTATATAGGAGAAACAAAACGAAAACTTAAACTGAGAGTAAAAGAACATATGTCTGATTTAAAGTACCACCGATTAAACTCTGTATTCCATGATCATTGTGTACTAAACAACTGCAATATAGATAAAGCTAATACACAGATTCTACACAAAGAGAAGAAAACATACAACAGAAAATTCAAAGAGAGTGTCGAGATTATGAAAAACAAAAATAATAATTGTATAAATAAAAATTTAAGCATCAAAATTAACGAAAACTGGATGAAAATATTGTAACTAAGTTGAAGCTGATTGGTCGTAATTACGAAGAAAATCATCTAAGTTTAACGTTTATGAATAGATAATTATAGGTAAAGTAATAAGTCATGTTAAGTTTAATATAATAATTCATGTTTATATACCAACTTCTATTATATACAGAAATCGGTTCAAAAAATCAGCTCAAGTAAATATGTAAATTAGTTTGCCAAATAGCGTAGTTACGGGAATTGCACACAGGAGCGGTTTAACCAAAAGCTACAACTTAAATCGTATGTCTTTATGAATTGTAAGTAATACAAATAATAATTACTAGTTTGTACAATTAATGTAATTGCTTTAAGTATGTTCTATGTAAATTGGCAGTTTGGATAATATTGCTAAGATGACTTTGTGAAATTTTGTTCGGAAAGAAAGGGTGACAACTGCTATTGAATAAATTTCGGTGTAATATGCGAATATTAACAACAGGTAAAAACAAATATTGTTAAGATATGTTGTAATTTTCAATCTATCTATTTGAATTTTGTGTAAATTATAAGAAAGCCATATTTAAAAGCCCAGTAGTCAAGTTGTCATCTACGACCCTGTTTGTTCTCCAGTTGATGTGCGAATTGTGATGTGTATATAAACTGTAAGTATTACAAATATTAATTAGTAGTTTGTACAATCTAATGTCATAGCTTTAAATAGGTTCTATGTGAATTGAAAGTCCAAATAATATCGCTAAGATGACTCAGTGGAACTTGTTCGGAAAAAGAGTGTCAACAGTTATTGTATGAGTTTAGGTGCAATATACGAATACTGGCTACAGGTAAAGCAAATATTGTTAAAATATGTTGTAATTTTTGATTTACTTATTTTGATTTTTTGCATAAAGTATAAGAATACCATATTTGGAAGCCAGTAGCAAAAAATGGTTATCCTCGAACTTGTTTGTTCTCCAAGTAGTATATGGAATATGAAATTGTCCATCCTGTACGACATCTGTACAATAGTGGTTTGTGCTTTATGGTATGTTTTTAAAAATTTTTTAAAAAAACATTTTATCTACGGGTTGTTTACTCGCGTATTTTTGTACAATTATCTCATGTCTTATTTTTTATGTCTAGTTGGCTGAAGAGGGGCCAATGCCCGAAACGCGAAATGTAAAAGGCGTCCCAACTGAATAATAGTCAATAATTTGCCAAGTGTTGATATATGTCACCTTAGTGTGTCTGCAAAGAAACAAAAATATGATATTTTATTATTAAAAACTTTTTATAAACAGATGGCATCACGCACACTCAGCTTTAAATGGAAAACTTAAGAAACTCGTTGCTGGATTGTTTTATTATAAAACGACATAAAAACGTGCACGATAATTTTACAACAAACTGCAAAATTCAATAGGAATCGAATACAGAAATTCGCCTACAAAGCTGCTCTCCTGCTTTTAATAGAGAGGAGTTAATTAAAAACACAGATCTGTAGCTAAATAAGCCTACATCTGTAGCAATATCTTCTACAATGAACAAGATCGAAAGTGTAGTATATTGGAAACAGTTCTTGATCAATTCTGATTTGAAAGTAATCGTTCTATATATGAAATGGATACAGAAACAATTTTTCAATAATTTACCACTTTAATAACTGAAATAATAAAATATACAAGGTCCTTCAAAGCAAGATAAATTAGGCATCACCTTCATCCTTTATTTATAGGATCGCTTCTGGCGTGACATATTTGAGATAGACAAGCCATGAAATGTTTGAGGTTTCATAGCCTTTCTCAAACGACCTTTTCTTAGAGCGTAAACTCATATCTTTACCACTTCGACAATTTGGCTATATATTTCTGTTTATTGGGCTGCAGTTTGAAAAAATTGTAGATCTATAAATTTCAACTGTCGTCCATCCTTCCTTCCTTAATCTGGAGAACGGAATTAGATAGATAAACTCTGAGATCTGATATGAAAACCTCGATAAACTGTATAGGAACGGGGTGGAATTTCAGTAGTAGTTATGGAATTCCCACTTCCCACAATTTTTCTGTTTCAACGGATAAATTCCTCCTCATCTGTTGCTTGCACTTTTAAGTTTTCTGATGCAAAACACTAAACATGCTTCAGCGTTACTTATATCCATTAACTGACAGCTATACTAACTTTACATCATCAATCTGTTTCATCGCCGACCACTATATTACAATAATATTAAATTATATTTGAATATTACATTTTTAAAGTGCACTATCGGCCGCCCTAATAGTGTGGCTGCCTGTGTGCATGCACGCCCTACACACCTATCAGAACTGGCTCTGGCATAATAGAACCTAGGAACAAATTCATAATTTATTCTCTCCAAATTTTTAATGCCTACAAGTTCTTTTTAAATTTATTCTCGGTGTGAGCACTAAAAAGCCTTTCTAGAACTCAATGGGTTTAGCCAGGTCCCCAATATGGAGCAGCCAAATGATGAGAGACAGGGTCCAAATATCCTAATGGATCACCCCAAATAATTCCTGGGGTTTCTCGACCCATCCTGATTCTGATCCAGACCCCTCAGCACCTTAATCTGTTTACCATCCAGTCGCATACGAGGTATATCGAAAGCATTGCAAATAAATGTTGAAATAGAAATACTCTTACGTGGTTTTATATTGTACCAAAGTATTTTTAAGTATTCATCTCTGTCTGGTCGATTCTGTTCGCGGTAGAAGCCAACAATGTGATTCAATTCATGAACTATGGCTCCAAAATACATGCAACCATTTGAGTGATATAGTGTGTTTGTTCTCCTTTATCTCAACTCCAGCTGAAAGTATATTAGTACTAATAATTTTGCTTATATTTTGACACTTGGCATATAATGATCCCATTCGAAAATTAAGTTCTTGAGCAACCATTACACACGAAACAATGAACAAAAAGTCCATAAAAAGAACATGCCATTTATTTTATTTAAAATTCATTTCATAAAGTAATAAATACAAAGTTTCTCATAAAAAGTATACCGTCATGCTTGACAGGAAATTACTAGCTTAATATAATAAGTATTAACAGTTAATTTAAAATAAGTTATTATGATGAGAAAGTACAGATTGAAGAATTGAGAAGAGCTTCAAGTCGAGCTAGACGTTGTGAAGCTGTTTCTGCATCCTTGACAAAGCCATTCTTACTCCATGTTGCTCAAAACGGATTTCACAACCTTCAGGAGTCACAGTGGTTATTCTTTTAGATCTGAAATTTATTTAAGTTGTAAAAAATAAAAAACAAATGCCTAGGGGAAAGCGTAAGAATAAAATTGGTCACATAAGTTCCAGATCTAAAACAATAAGAATAGAGACCCCGTGAATTCCGGCATTAGCAACATCAAGTAAGAACGATGTGTCAAGGCTTGGATTTGTAGAAATATTAATAACAACTCTTCTCTCGAATTTCTTGAAATCTCCATTCTTCAATCTCTACTTTTTCATAAAAAGTATTCCGTCACGCTTGACAAAGAAATTCCTCATTGTCAAATTTATATTGTATTTAAATTGTTACAACACATTTCACAAGCAAAACATTATTGTAAAAGATGACTTCGCATGTGAATTTTTAAAGCACGATCTGAACAAAAGTTTTTGTCACAAACATCACAGTTCTTAACACTTAAATCTGTATTTCTCTGCATGTGAAAATTTAATAAATAGTTACTTTGGAATGTTCTTTTGCAAATTTCACATTGATGTTTTCCTCCTGTGGGATGAGCAAGCTCTTGATGACTTTGATATTCGTGTTCTGTTGTAAACTTTCTCTTACAAATGTCACAACAGAAATGTATCTTATTATTATAAGTAATCAGATGCCTCATAAATGAAGATTTCTTGTTATAAGTCTGTTTACAGATACCACATTGGTAAGGAAATTGATTCCAATCTATCTTCAGACGACAAACTTTCAAATGGCATTTTAGTTTGTTTTCAGTTTCAAAACTTATTTTACAATTAATGCAAGGATAACGTTTTTTTAAATGAATCCTTTCGTGCTTTAAAAGAATTTTTTTACTACAGAAGTGCTTTTTACATACCTCACAAACTAAAGGTTTTATGTCGAAATGACTTTTCTGATGACTAATAAAGCAGCGTTTATCCTTAAATTCCTTATTACAAACATTACATCGTTGAATATGAATTTTACAATGAGCTGTCATCATGTTTTCAGTTTTGAATGATTTATTACAATATTTGCATACAAACATCTTTTCATGTTCAACCAAGCGATGCCTAAGAAATGCTGGTTTATTATTAAAACTTGCGTTACATATGTCACAGAGATACTTAATTCTATCTTTGTGAAGAATTTCATGCTTCCTCAAACAGGATTTTGTTTTAAAATGTTTGTTACAAACATCACAAGAATACTTGTATTCATTGCTGTGTGTAACACTATGCTGTTTTAAACTCAGTTTTGATTTAAAACTTTTGTTACATATCTGACAATGGATGAAGTCATTGATATGAACCACCCTTTTATGATGATTCAGATAGCGTTTTGTTTTAAAATGTTTGTTACATATCTCACAGGAATAGTTATATTGATCAGTATGAAGTTCATAATGCTTTTTTAAACATCTTTTCGTTTTATAATACTTATTACAAATATCACATTTGAATAAACGGTTTTTGCTATGAGTTACTTTGTGAACTCTCAAATAACTTTCAAATTTAAATTCTTTCTTACATATCTTACAGCGATGAGGTATGTGTTTTCTTTTGTTTGTCTCTAAACGGTACTTTGATCGAAGGCATTTATCAGAAATATCAGATTGACAGATTTTCCCCTGAATATTAGATTCTTTGCAATATTTTGAAGATGACTGCATAACAACTTGATTTTCATTCTTGTGTTTTTTCATGTGTCTTTGCAAAAGAAATTGCCATGAAAACTTCTCATTGCAGGACGTGCAGTGAAATCTTTTTTTACGAATATGAAAGAACAGATGTGCTTCTAATATTTCCTTATTTATAAATGTCTGTTTACACAAGTCACACGTGAATTTTTGTTTAGAAACAGATGCAGGCATAACCCTGGAGTATTTCCTTTTAATCATTTTTTGCACTTGATTGCATTTTCTAATGGAAGGAATGTATTTCTTTTTATTGATAATATTCTTATAATGCTTCTCTCTATTTGAATTCTGTTGAATATCATATTCTTTACTTTGTTTTTCATCAACTGAAAATTTAAAAAAATTGCATAATGAAATGCCCATTATATTTCAATAAACATATTATAATTTAAAAATTCAAGTTTAAGTAATATTAAAATGTAATCACTTAAGATAACTTGTTATCAATGTTATAAGTACACAATACAAATTTAAGCTTTTCTTGTAATTTTTATAATTAATCTAAAAATATAAATAATTTTTTTATTTCTTTGTTCGATTGGTTAGCAAATAAACGTGGCAAAATCGCTTGCTTTTATAGAGAAAACTTAAAGTAATGTTCTAGAAAACAATACAGTAATGTGTACAATAATATACTATTTTCTAGATCAGAATGAAGAGGAGCGTAACCTGAAGTACATTTGTATTGAAAACAATAAAAATGACTTTCCTTTACAAAATAGTTTCCCTTATATAATAGATCTGTTAACAAACTAATATCTAGTTATCACAGAACTGCAGAAAACTTTAGATTAAACAATATGCAACAACAATATGAGCATTTAAAAATTAAACTTGTAATGTGTTACTTACTTTGTACGTTCGTTTCATTCCTGTTAAAGCTTTCGTCGGAAGTGAAGAACTCGTTCTTGACAGGCTAAACAATTTATAAACACAAAGATGTATTGTACAGGAAAATCATTACGAGTTAGTAAATCTGTTGTTTTGTAATTCTACATATATTAGCAGTACAGTTAAGGGGTTAACTGAAACTAATTATCTCTCAGATATTCTGTAGAAATCACTTAAGCTTTTGAAAAATTATTAAATAAATAAATAAAAAGTATTTCATGTATGGTCTGCCCCAAATATGTCAAGCCAGAAGCAACATTACATTTAGGCAATAAAGATGATGCCTAACGCATCCTCTTTCAAAAGGCATTGTATATTTTAGTATTTCATCCATCAAATTGGTAATTATTGAAAACATAATTGTTTCAGTATCTGTTGCATCTACAAAACAATCATTTTCACACTAAAATTGATCAAAAACTATTCCCAATCAATAAAATAAGAAAAGAAACATTCTATGTCTTCAATCTTGTCTATTAAAAGTAATCCGTACTACTGATCTAGGCTTAGGCCTATTTTTTAATTGATTAATGCACTCCTGCCGAAAGCAGAATAGTAGTTTTGTAAACAAATTTCTGTATTTCTACTAAATTTCTGCAATTCATTGTAAAACTGTCATGTGCATTTTTACTATATTATTGTATTTTTCTGTCTGTTTCTGTAATCAAAAGGTTCCTATTATTAGAGGCTTATCAGTGCCGAGTGGACCACTAAAGCCACTAAACACATGTCGTAGGTCCACACCTAGACAACATGGTCGCAAGTGGAGTTTTGAATCATTTTCTTTGCATTAGTAACACATAAACAGGAGCCAGTTTCCCATAAAAGTCTTCCTGGGAGACATCTCCGCTCAGCAGATCGCATTGCCATAACCAAATAAACGCGACTCCCATATTGTTTTAGAGTTAAATAACTACCATTTAGCACCATCACTGCTTAATGGACGTCAAAAATAAATTTTGCTTGGGTTTTTACAAGTCCAAGAGATGGTTCTACGTGCTGAAGGATGTCAAGCCATAGATCTCACCATGTGGATGAACCCTTTGTGATCTGGCCAGGTAATCAATGGGTCTAATATAAAAAAATGTCACTTTTTATTTTTCATACCTATTGCAGACAAACTCACTACAGAGTAAAATGTCTGAACAACTATAACATTAATTTACTATTTAGAAGTGCTTTTTAATACAGAGTAAACATAAATTTGCAATATGATTTTAAGAAACCATTTATATTAAGCTATATTTTCAATAATTCAGACACACAAATATCCGAATATAACGTAAAATATATAACATTTCAAAATTTGTATTATTTACCTTTACATCTTGGTATTCATCTCGGAGATGAACAACTTCACAGTCTTCAGTTTTTACTTTGATATTCAATCTTCTCAAAACAACTTTACATTCCGATTTTATATCATATTTAGTATCACAAATCTCCTCTTTTATTCTCTCTTTCTTACAATCTGTATTGGAATTTATACACTATTGTTTTTTAAAATATTCAAACAAACAATTGAAATAATTTAATAAAATTAATTTTATATTCACTAATTTAGCATGTAAATTATGCATTTTTATCATATCATTCGTGGTTAGATGCTGAGTTTCTCAGCATCTAACCACGAAATGCTGTGGGACACACCACATCTGTGATGTATGATAGAACATGGAATGATACAGATTATCAAAAGTGTTTCAATCAGTAGTCATTCAGAAGTGGTTATTCTCAATTAAACAATCATAAAAATTAGGAATGATTTATAAAAATTTTGCAATCATTTTCTTAAATGTTGAACAGAAATAAATTATTTTTAAAATCAATCAAATATTGGTCTTTAAGTGTTTTCCATTTCTCCATGTTTGGTCACTCCATGAATCAAAAAACTAAATAAATATTTTACAGAGTTTTGTTTGTGATCAAGTTGTTTGTATTATATTTCAGAACAGGATCAACTGAACATTTTGAAATTTGGTAGTAATAACTCCTTCGTGCAAATAATTTAAACAGTATATAACCCATTATCTCACATAGATACAAATATGAACTACAAACTTTAAATTTTCTACATATATATATAATAGCATGTGCACTTAACATTTCATATTATATAACGTTAATTCTTAAGATTAGATGACAAATTATCTTCGTAAAACAATTATTAATTTAGCAAAGAAAGAGTCTGACAGATGTATCACCTTTTAAGTATGGATCCTTTTAACCCCACAAATAAAGGACCCACTGTTTTCAGAATATCAAAGAAATATGTCAATAAAAACAATAAAACAAAATACCAACAGACTTTTCATTATGTACGAAAATTAAATCCTCTTTCATTTCATAAAAGATTAAATTGGAATTTTCTCTGTTCTTGTATACTGATAAATTTAGTTGACAACCTTACTTTATCGAAGCCAAATATTGATATTACTGAATTATACTTAAATCCTTATTTATTATCAATGTTTCCTCTAAGCTGCGCACTGCTCAAATTGTTGCCACGCACGAGAATTTATGTGCCGTGCAGGCAAGCATGCACACCGATTTGAGTTGTTTACTTATTTCTCACTCTGTCTGCAACATGATCATTGCTGCATATATTTCGATTAAATACATTAAATCAGCAACAAAAGATAATATTTCGTATAAAAGTATGTTTTAAAATGAATTTTAATCTCTACTTTATAATAATTTATTTTAATTTTAATAGGAAAAAAAAAGATATATATATATATAATCTCTTATCTCTATAAGGAAAAAATAAGAGAATGCCCATTATATTTCAATAAACATATTATAATTTAAAAATTCAAGTTTAAGTAATATTAAAATGTAATCACTTAAGATAACTTGTTATCAATGTTATAAGTACACAATACAAATTTAAGCTTTTCTTGTAATTTTTATAATTAATCTAAAAATATAAATAATTTTTTTATTTCTTTGTTCGATTGGTTAGCAAATAAACGTGGCAAAATCGCTTGCTTTTATAGAGAAAACTTAAAGTAATGTTCTAGAAAACAATACAGTAATGTGTACAATAATATACTATTTTCTAGATCAGAATGAAGAGGAGCGTAACCTGAAGTACATTTGTATTGAAAACAATAAAAATGACTTTCCTTTACAAAATAGTTTCCCTTATATAATAGATCTGTTAACAAACTAATATCTAGTTATCACAGAACTGCAGAAAACTTTAGATTAAACAATATGCAACAACAATATGAGCATTTAAAAATTAAACTTGTAATGTGTTACTTACTTTGTACGTTCGTTTCATTCCTGTTAAAGCTTTCGTCGGAAGTGAAGAACTCGTTCTTGACAGGCTAAACAATTTATAAACACAAAGATGTATTGTACAGGAAAATCATTACGAGTTAGTAAATCTGTTGTTTTGTAATTCTACATATATTAGCAGTACAGTTAAGGGGTTAACTGAAACTAATTATCTCTCAGATATTCTGTAGAAATCACTTAAGCTTTTGAAAAATTATTAAATAAATAAATAAAAAGTATTTCATGTATGGTCTGCCCCAAATATGTCAAGCCAGAAGCAACATTACATTTAGGCAATAAAGATGATGCCTAACGCATCCTCTTTCAAAAGGCATTGTATATTTTAGTATTTCATCCATCAAATTGGTAATTATTGAAAACATAATTGTTTCAGTATCTGTTGCATCTACAAAACAATCATTTTCACACTAAAATTGATCAAAAACTATTCCCAATCAATAAAATAAGAAAAGAAACATTCTATGTCTTCAATCTTGTCTATTAAAAGTAATCCGTACTACTGATCTAGGCTTAGGCCTATTTTTTAATTGATTAATGCACTCCTGCCGAAAGCAGAATAGTAGTTTTGTAAACAAATTTCTGTATTTCTACTAAATTTCTGCAATTCATTGTAAAACTGTCATGTGCATTTTTACTATATTATTGTATTTTTCTGTCTGTTTCTGTAATCAAAAGGTTCCTATTATTAGAGGCTTATCAGTGCCGAGTGGACCACTAAAGCCACTAAACACATGTCGTAGGTCCACACCTAGACAACATGGTCGCAAGTGGAGTTTTGAATCATTTTCTTTGCATTAGTAACACATAAACAGGAGCCAGTTTCCCATAAAAGTCTTCCTGGGAGACATCTCCGCTCAGCAGATCGCATTGCCATAACCAAATAAACGCGACTCCCATATTGTTTTAGAGTTAAATAACTACCATTTAGCACCATCACTGCTTAATGGACGTCAAAAATAAATTTTGCTTGGGTTTTTACAAGTCCAAGAGATGGTTCTACGTGCTGAAGGATGTCAAGCCATAGATCTCACCATGTGGATGAACCCTTTGTGATCTGGCCAGGTAATCAATGGGTCTAATATAAAAAAATGTCACTTTTTATTTTTCATACCTATTGCAGACAAACTCACTACAGAGTAAAATGTCTGAACAACTATAACATTAATTTACTATTTAGAAGTGCTTTTTAATACAGAGTAAACATAAATTTGCAATATGATTTTAAGAAACCATTTATATTAAGCTATATTTTCAATAATTCAGACACACAAATATCCGAATATAACGTAAAATATATAACATTTCAAAATTTGTATTATTTACCTTTACATCTTGGTATTCATCTCGGAGATGAACAACTTCACAGTCTTCAGTTTTTACTTTGATATTCAATCTTCTCAAAACAACTTTACATTCCGATTTTATATCATATTTAGTATCACAAATCTCCTCTTTTATTCTCTCTTTCTTACAATCTGTATTGGAATTTATACACTATTGTTTTTTAAAATATTCAAACAAACAATTGAAATAATTTAATAAAATTCATTTTATATTCACTAACATAGCATACAGTTTTTCGACATAAAATATTCTTGTAAATTATGTGTTTTTATCATATCAGCCGTGGTTTGATGCTGAGAAAATGCTGTAGAACACAGCATGTCTGATGTATGATAAAAGACACATTATGAAAAACATTCCTTAAACTCATTTAGTAGTTGATATTCTCAATTAAACAATCATGGAAATTAGAAATAATTCATAAAAATTTTGCAATCATTCTCTTGGATGTTGTACAACATAACAGAAGTAAATTATTTTAACTTATCGAATATTGATCCTTCAGTGATTTCCATTTCTCCATGTTTTAACACTATATGAATCAAAAAATTAAATAAATACTTTAATCGCTGACAAACAAAGTATTATATTTCATAACTGAATCAACCAAACATTATGAAATATGTCAGGGAATATGTCAGGAATAACTCCTTGGTGCAAATACTTTGAACAGTATAGAATTCTTTACCTAACATAGGCTACACACAAATATATTTTCAGAATATCAAAGGAATATATCAAAAGACACAATAAGACAAATACCAACAGACTAATTAATAAAATTCAATTCTACAGCATCAACCTGTATTTCATTTCACTAAAAATTTAAATTGGAATTCTCTCTGTTCTTGAATACTGATAAATTGAGCTGACAACCTTACTCTATCAAAGCCAAATACTTATTTAAATGTTACCATTTCTATTTATATAAATAAAAATTTATCTCTTAACTATTCTTCAAATCACTAGAAACAATTTTTTAGTATTAAGTCTCCTACCTATTTCACTTTTATAACCAGAATTACTCCAAATACAGGAATCATTTGTGGAATTTGTAGAAGTTGACTTTCCATGAGTATTTATCTGAAATAATTGAAACAATAAGTTTCATTATTGGACAAGTTAATGTTTATACAAAAATAAATAGAAAAAGTATTTAAATTGGAACATATAGGCCTATATTCATTGATTAAATGGAATTTTAACATATATGGAAGTATTTACGTGTTAGCTTTAGTATCTTGACTTTTCAGTTATAGAAATTTATTCAAGTACAGTAGTATTATAATAAGCAGAAGCCTCACGATGCTGCATCAATATGTAAATAGCAGTTTGTTAATAATTACATTTTGAAGTATATTATATCACTCTATTGATTTGTATTAATAATACTGAATTGTTATTCTGTTAGAATTATAATAATACATTCTAAAATATATAGTGTTTTGAAGAAAATTTGAAAAACTGGATATTTTATTAATTTATTTCTTACAGATATTTTTCCCTCTCAATTTCTGTGATATAAACTGATACAGAATATCTACTTAAACTTCTATGAACTATTTAATTGTCTTTTGTTCTTTGTAATTAATATCAGTTTCAGCTCTTGTTTTTAATAAACACGTCATAGAGGCCATGTTTATTGTAAACACAATCAGTTTCATAGAGTATGTAACCGATTGTGCACAATCTATGATATATTTATCTTTAAAAATATCTGAAATCATTTGCTTTTCCCTCTTATTTTGTTAAGTAATCAATTGCTTTAATATAATATATACTGTATATATAAATAATTCAGCCATTTTTGTAATATTTTCATTCTATTGAATTAATACGTTCCAAATTTTTATATTTAATCATTTGACAGAGGAAAGTCATTTGTAATTCTATCGGATTTTTTAAGTAAATTTAGCTCTAAATTCTGTAAATTGTAAATAATTTTCGTTTTGTAGCGCTGTATTTAATAGTGATATTGATTATAACTGCAATATTTTGCTCTAACAATAGCATAACATTTACTTTTCACATAAGTTATTACGTGGTATAATATAGATGGCTATTTCTAAACAACATATTCATTGTTCCTAAATTTTATTGATTTCTACTGAACAGATTGGTTGTCAATTGTTGATCAATTGGCCATCAGGTTCATTAAATAATTGGATTGATTGCTTAAATATTTCACAGTTTAACGACCAGACTCATTCAATATACGAAATTAAGAATTACACGAGCAAATTGTTTATTGTGACATCATCACAATACCAAACTGAAATGTTTAATCACATNCTTAGATTTTACAAATACGTGAGCCATTCATTTACATTTTTTTTTTTTTTTTTTTTTTCGGACGGATTCAAAATGATAGCAGTTATCCAACCGATGTATCTTCAGTGGCCGGATAACCGAGCGGTCAAGGTGACAGCCTAACGCTCTGGGGGACCCGGGTTCAAATCTGAACGAGTCGAAAATATACCCAGAAATTTTTCGGGGGTTGGTCCGTTCAGATATGTCGGGCCCCGTCCCTCACCACCCGGCAGCCCCATTGTGGGTCTGGCCGAACTCATAATGGGCTTGCAAAAAGAGGCCTCTTAGTGACCACAGGGCGGAAAGAGTTAAAAAAAAAAAACGATGAATCGTAGTATCTTTCTTGCTCTGTCGGGCAGAAGGTATAGCGATCAGTATTTTTCAGGTTACTTTTATGGAGAAAGGAATTCGTGACGAGGGAATTGGTTCTGACCCGATGAACCAGGACAGTAGTTTATCGGTCCGTATAGTCCATGACGGGGATGTGTCGGCCGATGATGAACCAGTGATAGTCTGTATGGCTGGGAAAATTATGCCATTCGTTGTCTGTTTGATTTCAGTGTTTATTATGCAGATGTAATCATCCGGAGTAATTTAATTAATGGGTTTTCTAGGTGTCGTAAGGCTAACTCTTAACAAGTTTGTCCGCTTGTTCGAACCCTTTGTGAGCTGGGGTCCAAACGAGACGCTTCTGTAGATTATTTTTATTGCGTCTGTTGATGAGACTTATGATGGTGTGAATGATGGATAATGAGCGTTGATGGCGGTAAGGCTAGCTTGAGAGCCCGTGCACACGGTGATGTTGCTGTTAGTCTCAGTAGCGTAGTTACAAACACGTGTAGTGCGATGAACGTACTACACGTAAACACTAGGTGCGATGAACGTAGTTTTAAGATATAATATTTTTTTTCTGTCAATTTAGAGAATGATTTTTTTGTAGAAAAATCATTATAGCAGGAAAAATTAAAATAAAGGGCCATTTTCATGATGTTACTCAAAATATTCAAAAATATACAGCTTTTGGTAAATATATTCCACAAATACAAGTACCCGTACATAATTCTAGCTAACAAATTCCTGTAAGGAAAAAAGTTAATCATCTATGTTACGTCTCCTTTGATCATATTTTAAAATATAATTCAAATTTAATTTTGTATTTGTACCGATACATTTTTATAAAAATGTGTTTTATGTTTAAGTTAAGATAAAAATATTAATGCAACAATTTTTAAAATCTCTTTAATGTTTATTGTAAAAGAAAAAAAGTGCATGTAAGATTTGCTGTCATCAACATAGGATGTAAGGCAGGGTTCGACCAATTTAAATAAATTTACACTTTATTTTCTTTAATACATTATATATATATTTATAAAATTTTTAAAATAATAGTAAATATTTTAAATAATTTTTAAATGATTATAATTACTAAATCATTAAATAATATTGATCACAGAAAATATTTTCTGATTTATGACTTCTTAATCACAGATGGCGCGTTTAGTCTTTAAACATGGCGGTTGTGTTTCCACTTTGTCTAAAAATCCGACTGAAGCTTTTATTTCTGATATAATTATTTCTTTTTACCAAGCAATACATTATATAACTCATATTCGCAACGGGGCATTTGTATATTTTATATTTAAATGTGTCTTTTAGCCATAAGTCGACATTCTCTGTGGAAAAATTTGTCAATTTCACACGTGGTCCACGTGTCTACGACCTGTAAGTATTATTTTCCCCTTCTTTCTGAGTTTTTTTTTGGCCTTTTATCTTGCTCTGAACTTGAATTGAGCTTTACTTTGTTACTAGTTCTGTCATTTTCTGTGCTCCTGACAAAGAAGGGTGTTAGTTAAGCTAGTGTGGTGTTTAGTTAATTGGGTGTTTTCTACTTTAGTTCTTCTTGGTAAGCTGTTGTTTCTTAGTTATTGCAGTTTCCGTGTTTGTGCATTTTATTATATTCATTTCAATATTTCTTGTATGCTCATTTCTACTTAAGGTATGTCATTCATAAAGTGATAAATATTTTAAGGGGTGTTAAGTTTTGTTTGAACCATTTAGAAAACATATAAATCTTAGAAAACATTCATATAGAAGAAGTTGAATACTTTAACTGGCTAGGACAAATAATATGCCCAAATGGAGACACTGAAAGGGAAGTGAATAGAAAAATTCACCTTGCGTCAGCAGCCTTTGGAAAATTAAAAGATATTTTTAGGGAAAACCTACCGCTCGAGTGAAAAGAAAAACTTTTAATCAGTGCATCTTGCCAACATTGCATCAGAAACATGGCCCCTACCTGAAAGAATAGAAAACGAGCTTAAAGTCATTTGAGAAAATTATAGGAATAATGTTAAGAGGTAAGAGATATACTTGAATAAAAGAGCAAACAGAAGTAGATGATATTTTAGAGCAAATTAAAAAGTCGAAGTGAAGCTTGGATGAGACATGTAATGAGAAGAAAGGATGGAAGATGGACAGAATGGTTGATGTTCTGGAAATCAGAAACTGTGTCAAGAAGGCAAGGGTGGCCTAAGATGAGATAGTCCAATGAAATAACCAAAGCAGCAGGAAGAAAATGGAAAAGAAAGGCTCAAGACAGAAAACAATGAAAAATTATGGGAGAGGTATTTATCCAGCAATGGATAGAGATGGCTATCCAGCAATAATAATAAAAATAAGTTTAGAAGTTTTGTTGGATATCCAAAGAGGGAAGGGGATTACAGAAGCTTGAAAAAACTGGAACAAGGAGAGGAAGAGTAAAAATTTCAAGAAAAATGTAATCTATTGACAGCCCCTAAGTATATCAATGTGCATCTTTTACATTTTTTCACAGTCCAACTTCTTAATTACTACTAATTCTTTTGTCTTATCAGCTTGCGCCACATTATGTGAAGAAATGAATAGAGGACATGATTGGTAGTTATGAGATCTAATAAGACAAAAGTGTTAGTAGAATTTAAAAAGTTAGATTACAACAGAATATTGCAGATGCACTTCGAGGAGGTGGACTCTGCACAGCTTGAAAGAGTTCATACAAAGAAGCTCAAGAATTGAGTGAAAACTTATTAGGTACTCTTCAAAATAAATAATAGATGGTATGAAGCAAAAATATTTTCTACTAAACAATTTCATTTTATTATTAAAAGAAAACATCAATATCTTGACCATAGATACAATGCAATTATTTAAATTATAAATAATTTTAAAATTTAAGTCGGTGCAAACAAGCTAAGGAGTGACATGATGTGTAAATATTATAAAGTCTCTGTAAATCCGCACGAAAAATATATAAATTTTAGGTTTAGCGGTAGACCAACACACAGCAGATAGCTAATTACTTCTCTTTATTTAATCACTGTATATACATTTCGGTCCTATTAAAGAACCCTCTTCAGTACTACAAAATATAAATATTATAATAAACCTTATGCGAGTAAAACTACCAATATAACAATTAATATTTTAGTTTTTCATTACCATTTAGGTACACAGCTTTGAATACACATTCCATTAGCACTTTCATATCAAGTGTATTTAGTAACGTTTTCTGATGATACACATCGGTTATAGGTTCCAGTACGTCATATTTATTTTATACAATTCGGTGTGCAGTAGATGTTATATAAAATTTACATAAATTTTGTTTTACATATGAAACATCACTTTTATATACAGTTCAACTTTTCTAATAATATAAATTCATTTTTTATCATTTCAGTTAAATAATTATGGAAAGTCAATGCCACAAAATAACACAGAGTTCCAATATTTGTAATAATTTTGGTGGTAATAATGAAATAGGTAAGATGGTTAATAATTTTAATGTTATAAAAATATGTTTTGCATGATTAGAAGAATGGTTAAAACATAAATATAGATAAATCCACATAAATATAAATAGAAATTATTTAACATATTCAGTTTTGACATAAATGAACATCATTGAAATTCATGTATTGATATTAAGGCTTATCATACACAGCAATGAAATATTTGAAACAATTTATTACACTTTGATTATCATACTCTACCATTAAAAATTTACAATTATTACATAATTAACGAATAGCCTAACAGATTTTGGCTACAATGAATTGGGCTTATCATGTCAAGATGAAAATGAACAGAATCAAATTATTCATATATAACTAGTTAACATAGGGGTATGCATTTCAGGTACACAGACTCCTCATAATCCCATTTAAGGTTAGACATATAGCAGTAAACACAATAAACATCAAAAATATTGTAACAAACACAATGTACAATCTGATACTAAAAATGATAGTGCACTGTGTATAAAATTACTCTATTAAAAACTAATTAAAATAGTACAATACAATAGTAAAAACAGTCAATAGTTGTGGTCCATAAGGAAAAGAAATTATACTGTTGTCTTCTATAATCTTTAAACATGGCGGTTGTGTTTCCACTTTGTCTAAAAATCCGACTGAAGCTTTTATTTCTGATATAATTATTTCTTTTTACCAAGCAATACATTATATAACTCATATTCGCAACGGGGCATTTGTATATTTTATATTTAAATGTGTCTTTTAGCNGTATATGTTCCGCTCATCTACAAAAAAAAATTAGAGGGAACATCGTTTATTACATGTAAAATATTTGCAAAGTTTGTATTCAAATGTTTCCATTTTTATTTATATAAACATGAATTTATCTCTTAACTATTCTTCAAATCACTAGAAAGAATTTTTTAGTATTAAGCCTCTTACCTATTTCACTTTTATAACCAGAATTACTCCAAATATAGGAACCATTTGTGTAATTTGTAGAAGTTGAATTTCCATAAGTATTTATCTGAAATAATTGATATATTATGTTACATACATTTACTTATACAAAAATAAATAAAAAAGGTATTTAACTTGAAACATAAAATTCCATTTAAATCAAAAATTTTCTAAAATATATGTACCTATATATGCTTTAGTATCTTTATTTTTAGTTATTGAAATTTATTCAAATAATTAAAACAGAAACCTCCTGATACTGTATGAATATGTAAAGAGCAGTTTGTTAGTAATTAAATTTTAAAGTATATTATATCACTCTATTGACTTATATTTGTGATAATAAATTGTTTTTCTGTTAGAATTATATCCTACACTCTAACGCATATAGAGTTTTGAAAAAACTAGATATTTTATTAATTTATTTCTCACATATTTTTCCACCCAATTGCTGAACTGACACAGAATATCTATTTAGACTTCTTGCTCTTAATTATTCAATTGTATTTTGTGTCTTTAATTAAAATCAGTTTCAGCTCTTGTTTTCATATAGTCTATGTAACCAACTGTGCAAAGTCTATAATATATTTAATATTTATCAACAGTGAATCTTTTAAAATATTTGGCAGCAATTGCTTTTTCCATTCTTATCTTGCAAAGTAATCAATTGGTTTAATATATATATACATAATTCAGCCATTTCTGTAATATTTTCATCCTGTTGTATAAACATGTTCCAAATTTCTATATTTAAGGCATTATTTACAAATTTCTGTTTTGGTTTTCTTCATATTGGTAAATATTAATGTTAATGTGTCAGAGGAATGTCATTTGTAAATTCTATTGGATTTTGAAGTACATTCTAAATTCTGAAATTTGTAGATAATTTTCGTTTTGTAGTGCTCTATATAATAGTGATAAGTATTATAACTGCAATATTTTTGCTCTAACAATATACATTTCCTTTTCAGATAAGTTATTACATGGTATAATATAGATGGCAAGTAATATTTATGAGAGGTTGGATGGCTGAGTAGTCAAGGTGGCAGCCTACCGCTCTGTGGGACCCAGGATCGAATGAATCAAATAATCCCCAGGAATTTTTCAGAGGGGGTGGTCCGTTCGGATATGTCGAGTCCCTGTCCCTCACCACCTGCCAGCCCCACTGTGGGCCTGGCCGAACCCATAATGGCTTGCAAAAAAGAGGCCTTCTTAGTGCCCACAGGGCAAAAAAAATTAAAAAGAAAAAAAAAAAAGTAATATTTTCTAACAGTTTATTCATTGTTCTAACATTTATTGATTTCTGATGAATAGATTGGTTATGAATTCTTGATATTTTCTGTTTCAACAATTCTAACAGAATATTAAATTTGATTGAATCATTTATAGCAACCTGTATCATTTTCTTTAAAAAAAAAAAAAGTACAGTAGACCCCCCTATAATGTGGGTTCATATAATGTAGATTCGTATATCGCGGCAAAAAAATTGCGACCATATTCGTATAAAGACGCTAAAAGAGACTCATAAAATGCAGTAAAACATCATTGCCAACTCGTGCTGTGACAGGATTGGTCGAATCTGGACCAATAGTGGACGAGCAGCCAAACTACTTACACGCTACTGAGAGTTTAGACGGATAAGTTGAGTTTACTATCAGACGATAGTAAACTCAACTTACCCGTCTAAACTCTCCGTACAGTATATATGCCTAAATTAGGTACTGTAAGTCTAACACAGTACTGTAATTTTATACATTTCTTGTGAAAAAAAACATTTCTTATTCAACGTCCATAAAAATTATTTCTATTAGTGATGTCTCCTAACTTCAACGAATTTTCACAGAAAAATAACTTATCAGAATACGCAGTCGCTGTTTGGTGCACTGCTCCGCAACGAAAACAAGCTTAAGCAATGGTGTGGTCGAATGGGGCACACACGGTAAGTAATCCTACAATTTTTTGTTTATAGCATAATTTATATGGTTTATTCCCAAAAAATTATACGTTTTTTGGAAATGTTGTGTCAAATTAGCCTAGAATGGATTAATTTTATGAAAGAAAACCTTTCAAACAGCCATAGTCCGTAAACTGCACACGTCCGGGCTATAATTAGCTCATGTATTTAAGGATTCCTACAATGCGAAATTCTTATAAAGTGGAACGTACGAGGGCTGTTCAAAAAGTATCGGACCTTTGGTCGGCAAAAATACATTTATTGATTTTGAGGTACAAAACCCTAATCCCCTTCAAAGTAGTCTCCTTGATAGTGTATACACTTCTCCCAGCATTCCTGCCATTCCTGGAATGCATCTTTTGGAATGGCCATCAACCAATCCGTCGCATTCCGCACGATGTCTTCTCTCGACTAAAATCGAGTTCCTTTTAGCGGCATTTTCAGCTTGGGAAATAGCCAAAAGTCACACGGAGCCATGTGGGGAGAGTACGGAGCGTGACGAACCACAGGAGTGTTGTGTTTGGCGACAAAAGCCAGAATCAGATGCACAGAATGGGCGGAAGCGTTATCACGATGGAGCTGCCAAGTTTTGATCGACCACAGATCCGGTCATTTGCGTCGCACAGCATTGGAAAGACGACAAAGGACCTCCTGGTAGTACTCCTTTGCGATGGTTCGGCCTCGTGGTGCGTACTCACGACACACCACCCCACGAGAGTCGAAAAAACTGTCAACATGACCTTGATATTGCTGCGGACCTGCCACGCTTTTTTTGGCCTCGAGGATCGTCCCCGAAAGCCTGCTGAATCTTGCGAATGGTTTACGCTCGGGTATCGCCAAGGTTTTTGGCAAAATTTGATGTAATATCACTGCTCACGTTGTTCAGTCATTTTCCAACTTAGTGGAATCCGACGAGAGCTCACTACACGTCCTCACTCATAGGCCGACTGTCAACGACTGACATTTCCTGCAGGCGGGAAAAAATTCAGGGCTGTGCACGACTGTCCCCTCCACAACTCCACCGAAAGAGGCCTCCCACGCATCATTGGTTTACGCGGAAAAAATAAAAGTCCGATACTTTTTCAACAGACCTCGTATCTACCCTACCATGTTATATGGGGGTCGACTGTACAAGAAAATAGAAAACAACTTGTTTACTTACCTCTATATTCTCATCGTTATCACATTGTAAAGGTTCTAATTTAATTCTTTTAACAAAGATTTTTTCATCCGTATTGAATTCTCTCTTACAGTTCTTTAAAACAACTTCCAAATTTTCTTTACTTTCAGAAGTGAAATCCTCATCTTCACTTTCCAACTCTACTTTTATCTTCATTTTCTCAGTTCAGAATATTCTTGTCTATTCAACAAATGAAAGATTTTAAAACTGTGCGGTTGAAACTTATATTTACAGTACTAAATGAACAAAATTCATATAATAGGAAACACTTACCTCTCCTAAGTGAATAGTGTCACTAATTAACATTAGCTCGTGATACAATAGATCGTGGCTCATCGCTCCCTGCCTCTTGTCTTGTCTTGTCTTATCGTAGTCGTTGGGCTTGCGTTACACAGACAATGCGCCCCATGGTGGTGAACGATGGCGGTAGTAATAATTTCTTCGGTATTTATAGGTCTGCTTGTAAACGGTGAAAAAGTGATCATACTTTGCATACAAATCTCGATGGGCGAAAATTTTAGACAATTGCTTATCTTGAAGATTTTGTGACGAATGATACTGTTGTTATTTAGAATTTTTTTTTTTTTTTTTACGGGTTCAAAATGATAGCAGTTATCCAACCGATGTATCATAGTGTCTTGCTCTGTCGGCCGCAATAACCCAGGTTCGAATCCTTGTCACGGCAGTCCGGCTTTTTTTTTTTTTTTTTTTTTTCGGACGGATTCAAAATGATAGCAGTTATCCAACCGATGTATCTTCAGTGGCCGGATAACCGAGCGGTCAAGGTGACAGCCTAACGCTCTGGGGGACCCGGGTTCAAATCTGAACGAGTCGAAAATATACCCAGAAATTTTTCGGGGGTTGGTCCGTTCAGATATGTCGGGCCCCGTCCCTCACCACCCGGCAGCCCCATTGTGGGTCTGGCCGAACTCATAATGGGCTTGCAAAAAGAGGCCTCTTAGTGACCACAGGGCGGAAAGAGTTAAAAAAAAAAAACGATGAATCGTAGTATCTTTCTTGCTCTGTCGGGCAGAAGGTATAGCGATCAGTATTTTTCAGGTTACTTTTATGGAGAAAGGAATTCGTGACGAGGGAATTGGTTCTGACCCGATGAACCAGGACAGTAGTTTATCGGTCCGTATAGTCCATGACGGGGATGTGTCGGCCGATGATGAACCAGTGATAGTCTGTATGGCTGGGAAAATTATGCCATTCGTTGTCTGTTTGATTTCAGTGTTTATTATGCAGATGTAATCATCCGGAGTAATTTAATTAATGGGTTTTCTAGGTGTCGTAAGGCTAACTCTTAACAAGTTTGTCCGCTTGTTCGAACCCTTTGTGAGCTGGGGTCCAAACGAGACGCTTCTGTAGATTATTTTTATTGCGTCTGTTGATGAGACTTATGATGGTGTGAATGATGGATAATGAGCGTTGATGGCGGTAAGGCTAGCTTGAGAGCCCGTGCACACGGTGATGTTGCTGTTAGTCTCAGTAGCGTAGTTACAAACACGTGTAGTGCGATGAACGTACTACACGTAAACACTAGGTGCGATGAACGTAGTTTTAAGATATAATATTTTTTTTCTGTCAATTTAGAGAATGATTTTTTTGTAGAAAAATCATTATAGCAGGAAAAATTAAAATAAAGGGCCATTTTCATGATGTTACTCAAAATATTCAAAAATATACAGCTTTTGGTAAATATATTCCACAAATACAAGTACCCGTACATAATTCTAGCTAACAAATTCCTGTAAGGAAAAAAGTTAATCATCTATGTTACGTCTCCTTTGATCATATTTTAAAATATAATTCAAATTTAATTTTGTATTTGTACCGATACATTTTTATAAAAATGTGTTTTATGTTTAAGTTAAGATAAAAATATTAATGCAACAATTTTTAAAATCTCTTTAATGTTTATTGTAAAAGAAAAAAAGTGCATGTAAGATTTGCTGTCATCAACATAGGATGTAAGGCAGGGTTCGACCAATTTAAATAAATTTACACTTTATTTTCTTNCTGCCAATTTTGAGATACTGTACATGGTTCTGAAAAAAAAAATAAAATCCTGCACATTCAAATAGTATGACACGTAGCTCTGTTATGGTTTAAATTACAAATGAATTATATAATAGAAAGATATATTTTTATGTTAAGGAAAATTTGTTGTTTAAGTAGTAAAAATAAAGTATTTAATTATTTTAAGTTTAAGTTTAAAAATTGACTAATTATTCAATTATTAGCTTACAATTTTCTTAAACACATAAAATTTCTTAAGTGGTAATATGTTGTAGATTGTATGAAAGACGAAATAAACAAGACTCGTGATGTTAAACATGTTATTAAATCAGAATGTCGAGTTGTTTTGAGAAGATTGAATATTAAAGTAAAGACTGAAGGTTGTGACGAGGTTATTCATCTCCCAAATGAATATGAATATTTAAAGGTAAATAATAGAAAATGTGAAAAATTTTACATTATAAGAAATATTTGAATATTTGTTTGTCTAATTTATTGAAAAAATAGCTAAATATAATCAATATTACAAAATTATATTCAAAATTTAGATCTATTTTGTATTAAATGACAATTGTAAAACATACATATAGTGTATCAAGATGAAAAATAAATATTTTTGAAGGTGGTTTCTGAGAAAACTGTGCAAATTACAAATGTTAATGTATGTAAAGAGATCATTTGCATACAGATCCTGTTCTGCTGAACACATCAATCTGTATATAGGGATGGATGGAGGATGTTTTAAATTAATCATGTGACGAAGTTAATTGTGAGATGAGGTATACTTAGGATACGTACATAAAGTCGAATGAGTTAAACGAGAATGATGTCATTGTTATTCTTATTTCATTAGACTTTTCGACTGATTCATTTATAACTAAATAGCTGTTTCTAAAATTGAAGATATGAATGTTGCTAGTACAGCCTTATCTGAAATATTTTTCTTAAGATTGCTTCGGGTAGACAGTTATTTCTACCATTTCACCTTTTAATTCACAGTTTAAACACATGAATAGATTTAGAAACATCAATATCGTCGGGCACCATTTTCTTAACAAAGTTAACTAACTCTTTCCTTTGTGAACTTCGTTAGATTTTTGTTCGAAATGTCATCACTGCAGAGCATGCGTACTGAGCAAGACTACTACTTTTCGAACGATTTGTTACTAACATGTTTAACTCATTTGACTTTATGAATGTACCCTTAGAGAAGGTTTATCTTACCTCACAATTAACTTATTGGCCTGATAGGAAATGCTGCTTCAGTTATCAAAGAGGATAGGAATGCACTTTAAAGAAGTGGACACAGTGCTAGTGTGTGTTGCTTTTAAAAATGTATCAATGCTGAGGAGTGGCCATTTCAAGAACTATCTTTTGATATCACCACTCCATCCTATCATGGGTCATAGTCAGATGCAACCATAGGTGGTACTGTACCCTGAGATATGACATGTCAAACTGGAAAACAGTTAGCATATTTAAAATCTTGCATTCCACCAGTTCCTCCCAACACCCACCTCTGCTCAAAATCTCAGGCAACTTCTGATTGCTGCCAACAAACTGCAAGCAATGTTTTCAGACTGAACATACCAGCAAACAAGATGGTAGCCACCATGAGACTCGTAAGAACTCTAGTTTGCATTGACAATTTTGAATTTAATTTATTTGTTGATGACTGTACCCTGAATGTATTAGGATTAGGTTACATTAATAGAATATTTTGATATAGGCTACTAGTATATTTATATGTCATCACATAATTGTTTTAATTGTTAAAGTGCAATCTTAGGATTTACTTTGTTATATGTAACTCCTACAGAAATTTTCTCTTTCTCTTTTCAAATTAGTCATATTTTGTTAAGCTATTATGATTAAATAAGTTTTAAAATAAATTTAACATAATGTGGACGTCCATATCATTTGCCATTTTTCCTGTTTTTCTTTCCTGATATCCTGGCAGTTAGTGTTTGTGTTCTCTTGAAAACACAAGCAGTTGTATCATTTCCAGCAAGTATGTACAGTACATACACTTTTTTAATATACTATTATGCATCACTTCCCCAATTTTCCTTATAATAAACCTTGTATGTGTTTTTAGTAATTTGTTCTTTCTTCTCTGTAAGCAGTTTGCCTCTTTCTGCTGTTTTTGCTCACAGTCAGTCTGGAAAAAGGCAATAAATGGGTGTTTATCTCTAGCTCTCTGCCGATTTTATCAAGCTCACAATGGATAGTAGGATGTAATTTGATATCCAATTTGTACCACAAAAAGTTTGATATTCCAGAATCATTCTAAAACATGGGCAATACTGAAATTTTCAGAGTGATAGACTGATGTCTTTACTGTCTTGCCATTTACATATATGACAAAATAGTTAATCTTAGGAAAATCATTCATAATTTCTATGAAATTAACAAGAGATCATTTTCAAATATATTAAAGTGCATTTAATCACAAAAAAGTTCAGCATTGAGTTACATAACTTCCCTATCTTCATCAAGAAAATTGGCAATATGCTCTTTTCTTGGACTCCATTCTCCAAAAGTTATGTTGCTCAGGCTTTGCTATTCCTTTGTAGAAAAATTCCAGGACTGTGTCCAAATCTAGAAGATGTGTATTTTTATTTAGTCTTCTTGCTTTTATTTCAGATATTAATTAGATATTAATCCACTTGAGATATGACACACAACTGTCTCTATATCCCAATCCTATCTTGCCAAATTTTGTTTTTAATCATCATCCCATCCTGAGATACTAAAATAGATGCCAACACACACATGCATATAGAATTTGTTTCCTGTTTTTTGACATTTTTGGTTCAGGAGGTCTGAAAACATGGAGATTTTCAAAAAATCCAGAGGATCAAATTTGACACTTTCCATGTTCTGTACATAACAGCAAGGAAAGTAGCAAAGGATTTAAAAACATTAAAATCATAAGTTAGTAATACCAAAAAAGTAATAAAATTAGTAAAAGTCTATGCATTTTTATTTGATTTTTTAAATAATTTTTACTAAAGTATTTTTAAATATTATTAAAAGTTTTAAATGTATTACTTTTTTGTTGTTTTATATATTGTTTAGCTTATCAAGAAGAATAAATTCTTCACTCCTGAGAAAAGATTTAAGAGAAATGAAATGAACATCCAAAGTAAGCAAGGTGTTACATTTTTATTTGTTAAATGCTTTTTTGGAGGCTTGTTAGATCACATTTACATAATGCATTTTGTAATAAATTGCAGAACTGTTATAAAATGCATCATAGAAAAGCAAAATAAGCTGCTTAGCTCCTAGTTATGATGATTTAACTGTTCAATTGAGGCATGCTTTTGGCCACTTGGATCAGAATTTTCCATGCTTTCGTATCTTTGGCCATTTCTATCAGTTCTTCCATCTGCATGTTTGTGTCAGTTATGACTGTGTCCAGCCAGCGTGTTATTGGGCATTTTCTTCTTGTCCCACTGACCATGCCAAGCATTAAGAGTCCCTAGTAAAATATACCTATTGCCATATTTAAATTTAAAACCTTTACAAGTTTTAAAAACTATTTGTTATTCTCTCAGATTCATATTAGGTAATCAATCTGTGATATATTTAATAATCTAGCGTCAATAATATTACCCCATTTCATTTGAAAGGAGCCTATGTCATGGCTTGCTTATCCAGCTGCATTAAAGCCAATTTAACAGACAATGTGATCATTTTTTTCAAAATATCATTCCGAACACTTCACTATTACCATTCATTCTCTCAGTTTGAAAACAGGTGTTAATGAACGAGTTTAAAAATTAAAGCAAATTGCAAAAAAATTCTAAACAAAAGGTGATTTAAATAAATATGAAGGTAAAAAAAATGGTAATTCGTTGATTGTGTAATAAAAAAAGTAAACATAAAGAGAACTTAATTGGAAATTAATATGTTAATAAATTCAGAACACAAAAAAGTATAAATTGATTAAATTTCTTAATAAATTACAGGATTTATTAATGAATAATTAATAAATAGGAATCATTTTTCCCCATTTGGAAGCCACGTCATTTTACAATTGTGGATTAGTAACAGGATAAATTACTTTTATATAATAAAAAAATCTTATTTTAAAAGCTATTGTTTAGTGTATCTAAAAAGACATCTTTCTCAAATTAAAACTTCTAAGTAAGGTACTGTACATGGCCTTATTTTCTAAGCAACTGGACTTAGGAAAATGAAATTCTGTGCACCATTCATTAGGACAACTATGAATGTGTGACCAAAAAGTCAATAACTGACTACTGTATTAGAATTGTTGAAAATAAAATGTTTTTGAAAAAGTTCACATTAGACCATATTTGTGACTTATGTCTATTTTATGAATTACACATAAAATATTGTAACTAACAAATTATGATTAAAATAAACAAGAACCAACTCTGTTTTTTTTATTACCCTTTCTACACTGTAGATATTAAGATAACTCTTCTGGCTAGTCAATTCTGGATTCGACCAGGCCCACAATGGGGCATCGGTGTGGTGTAGGACTGGGCCTGACATATCTGGACAGACCATACATATACCAGGATCAAATCATATTTGATCCTGGATCTCTCCAGAGCAGTAGGCTGTCGCCATAATTGCTTGGACATCCAGCCATTAAAATTTACATTATATCTGCCAGGGAACCAACTCTGGTTAGAAAACAATAGAAAATTAAAATTTCGTCCATTTGCTCCATTATTTTGTGAATTTCTCCTTCATTAATTATCAAAATTAACTTGATTGTATTTTATTTAATGCATAAAAACACAATCTGATAAATGAGGTTTCTGTTACAGGCTTCTCGGTCCCTAATATAGACTTTCAAGGCTGTGAACTTGAAAGGCTTAATTAACTGTGTATCAAATATGAAAATTAATATAAATTGCAGTAGTTACTCTATTCGCTCAATACAAAATTAAATCATTAACACTTATAATTAATTAAGTTTGAATGAATTACTTTACTGCTTAATTAAAATAAGATTGTGTTAATACACAATCTTATTTTAATTAAGCAGTAAAGTATATGGCAATTTTCTAGCTTTTAGTTCTAATGAACTAAAAACTAGAAAATTGCCATACACAGAAGCTATAAAACATCAAAACCAGAAGTTTCAATCAACTAAGTTTGTCTTCAGGAAACTATAGATGACATTATTTATTCAATTGGATTAAAAACTATGAAAGTATTGGGAATAGGCCTAGTTAAAAACTAGATATAATAGGACCTTAATTTAAAACTTTTACTTTGAAAAACTAATCTTTTAAAACTTAAAAATGATAATTTATTTGTAAGAAATGTTTTAATTAGCCAATCATCCTCCATGGAACTGGCACCCCATAACATCATGAACTGACAACATTGGAGTAGGCAATTTGTATTGTATGCAAAATCTTTTAAATAGGTACCCGATATTAAGCATTACTCCAATATATACCTATAAGTGTCTAATGACCAAAGAACAAATCACAATACAAAAGCGAGTGTGAGAATATCATTTTCCATCTATTTCCCTACAGTTCCGACAAGCAGGTTACCAAGAGTAGACAAATAAAAATATTTACTGTAAGAAGTAACTGTTAACATTGAATAAAGTTTCTGTTTTGTGTACAGAGGAAGTAAAACAATAGATAAATCTCTATTTTGACATTCACCAGTGGCTAAGTGGATAAAACCACTACACACTGGTATTTGTTTAAGTTCATGCCACTCCACTAGACTGGCCATGTGGAGTTTTCTAGGTTTCCTCTACATTTGCAGCACCTGAATATGGACCAATTTCCCTTAGAAAGTCCTCTTAAGAGGCATTGCCCTTGGCAGATTGCCCATGTCACATTACCATATACAAATAAACCAAACTAAACCCTATCTTGACAATATAAAAATGATTATTTCTTATAGCTAAATACAAAATCAAAACAGCTAGATTTAGCCAGAAAATGGTTAAATTTGCAACACAGCCAACAAGAAAGGGTGGTTCTTTTCAGCAGTTGTGCACACAAAAATGGTCATGGCACAACAGGAATACTGTATGAGAAGATACAACCATTGATTAACCTCTGTTTATTTGATTACATTTATTTATTATTCAAATACAATTGAACTTGTTAAATCACTAATACAATACAAATAAAATTTATTAGTGATTATAAGACTAGAACTGAAGATTAAAAATGTAAAAGCTAAACAAAAACCAAAGATTCATATTGCAAAATGAAATGGTAAGAAAGGTTTCCAACAAATTAATAGTAAATGGTATTATAATTAGTTCGGCTTTGATTTCAAATTAAAAATGCAGAAGAAAAAGAATTAAATCACATAAAAGGATAAAACAGCTTACAATTGTTGCATTTTTAAAGGCAAAGGTCTTAAAAGACATGAGATTATGACAATACATCTACATAGCTGGCTAGACCTGGCATCATTTGGTCTGCCTAGGCCCTTCTGTCACAAACTCCCAATCCAACCAACCAACCATGTGTGATGAGATGGCCTTTCTACTTCTAGAAGCTTCTGTTTCCCTTCCTTATACAGTTGAAATCATTCTTAAAATAAGGGAATCAACAAAAACAAAAGGTTTGATTTTGTTGGTTAGGTTTCAATTGCTAGACCCTTGTGTATATCTTTGCATGCAGATTATATGACATTTCTTGAAATATGAATAATTTTATTATTTATTTTTTAAATTTTCAGTTAAGAAAAAGGAACAGAGTGAANCCTTATGCGAGTAAAACTACCAATATAACAATTAATATTTTAGTTTTTCATTACCATTTAGGTACACAGCTTTGAATACACATTCCATTAGCACTTTCATATCAAGTGTATTTAGTAACGTTTTCTGATTGTCTATGGTCGTGTTTCTAAATTACTATAATAAATATTATTCTAGATTAAATCTTTATCTATAATAAGAGAAAGATATTATTATGAATTTATCTTGAATTTGGACATTGATCGTTAACTTTGATCACGTTCAAACATATCACGTGACGAAATAAGCGAACAATTCAAACTCAACAGAGTTAGTATTTATTCAAATTTAGTTTTTGGTGTTCGATCCAGTTGTTTCACCTGAAGAAGAGCCCAGAAGGGGTTATGAAAACGTTCGTAGTTGAAAGATTATT